CACTGCCCTGTCCTGCTTTCTAGTTTTTACTGGAGGTAGTGTTACCTGTTATTAAAATCAACACACACACAAAAAGCCCCAAACACCAGCATAAGGTGAACTGCTCTCACTTTTTTTGGTCTCATGTTTCCTGCGAAAATATCCTATAGGTACCCTGTTCCAACTCCAACTGCTTTTGATATTTTTTCTTGCCTACAGACTCTTTGAAACCTCTCGCGTTCTCCATACATCTGTAGCAGTTTTCTCAGAGCAGGTGTCTTGAGAGTAGTAACTACGTGGCTGTGAGAATTTCTCTCTCTACACTGGTGGTCAGTTACATGCACAGTAGACACATGGAAGTTAAACCGGGCAAAGCAAAGGCTTAGCCCTTCCTCCTTTGGTTCCATATGGTTCTATCTAGCCTTCTGATTCCAGCTTTTCCCCAGGAGCCTTCTCTCTCTGCCTAGCCTCGAAGTTGGCAGTCTCATTTGGTTTACCTTGGATCTATCTGTGGTCTTGGTTGAGTTTTTCCTGAGCTTCCACCATAGCTACTAAGAAAGCAGTCTTTTTCCTTTTATTACTGAAGACTCCTTCCCTTTGCAAACTGAATTTCAGTCCTGGCCTAGTTCAGCTGACTGAGGAGCAGGTATGTATGTCCCAGCCTCTGGCTCCTGCCAGACTTTAGCAAAATCATAGTCCTTTCAGTTCCTGGGTCTCCTCTCATGCGTGACTTAGTTCCTCTTTCGTCAGTGGGGCAGCTCCATGGGGCTGTGCTTAGGTGGCACAACTTCGCCTTAACAGTAGAGCTTCACGGGCAGTAGAACCTTGGTTACCAGGGGCGGGAGGGGGGCAAATGGGGAGATGTTGGTCAAAAGGTATTAAGTTACAGTTATGTAGGATGAGTAAGCCTAGAGGTCTGCTGTACAGCATGATGACTAGTTAATAATGCTCTGTGATATCCTGGAAATTTGCCGAGAGTACCACATGCACAAAAAAATGGTAACTATGAAGAGGTGGATATGTTTATTAGCTCCACTGTAGTAATCATTTCACTGTGTATATTTCTCTTAAAACAATCATGCTGTACATCCTATATTTTTTTTTATTTAAAAATTTTCAAAGATAATATGATATGCAAACATAAGTAAGAGGATGGATGGGATCTCTTTTTCCAATCTCATTTTGGAAGAAGTAATTGATTATTGAAGTTTATTAGGTCTACTAGGTAGCAAACTGAATAGAGGAGTAAAAGTGAAAGAAAAATCATTCTCAGACATTTTCACTTCAATTTAAAGATCTTGAAATCAGGACATAGGCAGGATAAGCTGAGAATTGACATTTATACCTAAATTGAGGACAGGAAATTAGCCCTCAGCAGAACATGTGACATGTGGGAAAGACCTTTTTTCAGGGGGGAAAGAGTCCACCATTGTCCTTGAAAAACATGTTCCTGTCAGGTTAACTTTCATTTCCCTGCATTCAAGGGAGCCAAGGCTACAGTGCAAGTAGAATGTTAAATGGCAGCTGAGGGCCTGGTAGGGACTATGACCAGTTAGGGGGCAAATAAATGTTTTGTGTAAAGAGGAATCCAGGATAACTTCACTCAGGTCAAGCCTAACTGGCCCCTTCCTGTGTTGGGAGTCACATTTTCCCATCATCCTACTTAACTTTTTTTCAAGAGAAATCCTCTTTAATTTTATTTTCCATAACCTCCCCCCCTTTTTTTAAAGAAAAGTATACTAGCTGTCTATCTGGTTTCCCATCTTCTTTTACTTTTTAAAATCTCTTCCTGATTCTCGCATTGTTTCTAAACAGGATTAATCTTTCCCCCCAGATATTCTTGCCTCTTCTCATTCTGTGCTCCTTCAACTGAATTGTTCTTCTCAATTTCACCTTTCCAAGCTAGACTTTTAAAATATTTTTAGTCGTACTTGGAAGATAATTATGTCACATCTGCAGGTATTAGAAACATGAATGAGACAAAATATTCCATATGATACTAAAATCTTTAATAACAGAGTAAGTTTAAAAACAACAGATTTATTGAGCACTACTTTGTAAGGTACAGTGTTAATCTTCCTAGAAACTCAGTCTGGGAGCAGTTGATGGATAAAACGTATCCATTTATAAAGATAATTAGCCATCCAAGGGAGTCATATGATAAGAGCCAAAATGAATACTATGTGTTAAGTCCCATAGGAATTCAAGGAAAAAGAATTATTTCATGGATTAGAATATAGCAGTGATATCTTGAAGGTAACTGTGACATTCCTGTTCTGTTTTCAAAGGTACACAAGCAGATACACATTTATGTGTAATTTTATTACGGATAATTTTTGCTATTTTGTTAGTACCTTGCCAGAATTTCATATACAAGCAGGTATTTCTGCTTCTACATGAATGCTGCATAAAATAGATCCTGTAAATTCTAATTAAGAGACACTCCTATTCCTAACCTTGAGGAGAATTTTCCACTCTCTGAAAACATTTTTATTGGCGTATCTTCCTCTTCTCTTTTTCCTTGAGAGAAACTGACAAAATAAAAATGAGGATAAGCTTTTTCTCACTTAAAAAATTTTTTCTCTCTCCCGAGTTGCTGTAGTTAACTGGTGATATATACTTTGGGGCAGATTTGAATTTATAAACAGCCAGAACACATCTTGATATATTTTGGACATTTAGTTTTCTTTTCATTCTCAATAAACTGAAAGATGGGTATTGAAATCATTTGCTAGAGTGTTCCCAATGTTTTTAAAAAATCTTTTGTATGTATAAGTATTTTTGCCCATTGTAGAAAAATGAGAAAACATAGACAATTATGAAGAAAACCAACCACACAGAGAGAGCCATGCAGTATTCTGCTATGTTTACTTCCACCTATTTTCAAAGAATATATATTATAACATAATTAGAGTCATAATTCACTCATCTAGCTTTGTATCCTGCTTTTTTTTTCACTTAATATTATACATAAACCCTTTCCCATGCCACTGAAATGTCTCTGAAAAGAGTAAAGAACATTCTTACCATATGGTTGTACTATAATTTGTTTAAACACTTTTCAATTGTTGTTTTCCACAGGTGGTTTTACATTTTGGGCTATTCTAAAGAATTCTGCAATGAACAGGATTGCATATAAATTGTTTAAGTCTGATTTATTTTTTAGGCTAGATTAATAGAAGTAAAATTACTAAATCAGAGAGTGTAAACTTAAGCTCTTTGATAAATAAGGCAAGTTGCTGTCCGGAGAATATACCAATTTCTAGCAGTCTATGAAAGTGCACATCTCACTGGATCTTTGCCAGTGTTGAGCTGCGACAGTATTTTTAACAGTAGCTCTCCTTTCATTTTTGCTTGCTAATTGAATTCAGTAATTGTTTTTTTCAAAATGTACCTAGGCAAACCCATTTTAGATGTGATTTTGAAATGAACTACTTGCCGTAGAGTTCTTAATGAAGTGGAGGTAATGTTCAATTTATTAAGTGAAAAAACCAGGTTGCAAAATAGTATGTACAGAATTACACAGAGAAATATTTCCACGTAAGCATTGCAATACTGTAAGTGTGTCTACACTTGCTGAGTATGAGTGATTTTTAAATTTTCTTTGTGCCCTTTTGTGTTTTCCACAATTTCTATAATAAGTCTATTTTTATTAGAAGTGTAATTTACTAAAATAATAGAACCTCATAAATACGGTGCACTATAAATGCTGCAGCTCCTCAAGCATTTATAAGCCACCCAAAAGTATTTAACAGCTTTCCCTGCTTGATCATTTGGCCCAGTGTTTCTTTTTACAGTAATACTTTGAAGTTTCTGTATTTATTTAAGGAAGTGGTGTATTTCTTTGCTATTAATAATGGGCACTGGCCCTCATGTTTTCTGGGAAGTACCTGTATTGAGAATGTTTCTGTTTCTGACTTACATATGAGTTTTTTTTAAGTGGTAGCTTGAATAAGAAGTTGAGTGTTTGACTTGGTTAGAGAAATATAAGGCATTTTATTAGAATATATATTAGCCTCTTGATATACCAATATTGCTTAGGGGCCAAGTAATTCGAAAGTTATAGTATGTTCTTTATGTTAAAATTAAAAAAAGAGGAATGACAACAGTTCAAAATGAGGCATCTATCAACCAAGAAACAAATGAACAATTTTTTAAATTTACCTTTATTGTGAATTTATTTTGGCATGGCATTTATAGCTCAGGAAGTACCTTCATTAAAAGTCCACTCAGTACAGTATACTCTGATATGTTCATCACAACCACTAACAATCATTGTTATGTACTTTTTTCTTAAAGAGTTTTTTTCTAAATTTAGAGCATGTGCTAGTTAAACAATGTGAATTATCCAGTAAAGTCAGAAGATAAGATATATTCAAATATGTTGAAGGAATCTGTTTTTTATCTATTTGCCTGATTTCATAATGTGAGAGGTAAGTAACATAGATTAAATTAAAATAGATGAGCATATTGTCACAATCACTTTGACATCATAAAATATTTTTAGAACTCAAGGTATTTAAAAATCTACCTAATTCTTTTATCTTCTCTCCTTCTCTTACTTGCAGTTGATTTTATCAGGCTCCCAAATAGTATGTGAGACTTTTTTTCCTAAAAATTCTGATTGATTAAGTGGAAATGTGAAGGAAAATGTTTTTCTGGTGTGAGCCATTTTCCACAGTTACTCATTTCCAGGAAGATCTGGATTGTGAAAAGATCTACAGCTTACATTCCTGATTTGCAACATTTCAGATTTTCTTTTGACCATAGTGAAACAATAGACATTAATAATAGTCCATTAAGTTTGTCAGTGTTTAACATAGTAAAAACAAAAATACCCCCAGTAGAATTTTATTTGAATTATTTCTAGGTGAGAAAATAAGAAAAAATAGCAGTATTAGTTATAAAACTTTTCAATAACCAATTTGTTTTCCCTGACAGAGATGGATATGCCTCTGACGTGATATCATAGCCCTAGCAAAATCACACACTAATATTATTATTTTATTGTTTTGCTATAGATGTGTTCTTTGTGCCATTGTCCTGGAGCAACAATTGGTTGTGATGTGAAAACATGTCACAGGACATACCACTACCACTGTGCATTGCATGATAAAGCTCAGATCCGAGAGAAACCTTCACAAGGAATTTACATGTAATTATTTAACTTCTCTTTTTTTTTTTTTTAACGGTCATACGTTCTTTAGGCTTTTGTAAAACTTTCCCATTTCAAAGCATTTCATCATTGTTGTAAAGGGTGTTTTTGGTTGGGAATTTAATGCTTAGAGAAATGGCATAGGAAATTTAATAATAAAGTTTTTGGAATCCACTTTGTGAATGGGATGAAGTATACTACTCATTCTTAATTTGAAAAATAAGTTTGGTTTGCTTGATAGTTTTTAATTTCTTCCTTTTTTATAGGGTTTATTGCCGAAAACACAAGAAAACTGCACATAACTCTGAAGGTATGTCATTCAGTCACTTTTTAATTCCAAGAGGAAACTTGAGTAAAATATGAGTGAATTATACCATATTAATGTTTCCCATAATACTTTTCTCAATATTTGAATACATTTTGAAGAATTAAGAAAAACATTTAGATAAACTGATGTACATAGTGAAAAAGATCCGAATTTTTAAGAAAACTTTTACCCCAAAGTTCTTGTACAGAGTATGTTGAGAATATATTTATCTTTAGGAAGAAATGATGCTGATGGTTATGGGTTTCTGTGTTCAGATAAGTGTGTTAGTAGATTGTAAAGGTAATAATTAGAACCTTGCTATTGTCAGATAACAAAAAATGTAAACTGGGGATTCTAGTACATTTTGTAATCACCAGGCTTTCTATTATGTTTTTATTCACATTGTAGTACTTTTTTTAAAATACAGACAAGTTCATAAGAAGTAATCGATTTTAAAATACAAACTTTTAAAGTTATTTTATAGTTTGTTTCCACTTAAGTTTATACAAAGCCAGGATAGTCATGTTTATATATAGTTAGCCAAGATGAACTTGGTCTTTAAAAGGTATGGGAAAGTTCTCAAATTGAATTCTGACTTGTTTCAAACCTTTTCAGATGGTTTTAATACTTTTACTAGCTTAGATTTAATCTGAGATTGTTCTATCCTTCCATTTAGATTAGAGATCTTCAAAGTTTTTGTTAGCTTCTCAGAACATGTTGCTTAGAATTAAGAATGGTTTGAGCCTGTTGTTTTAGGAAGTTGTTTCTTTTATAAAGACTTACCTAATTATCAGTATTAACATATTAAAATTTGTGGTCCTTTTTGATCTCTTAGATCTTGCTTTTATAATACAAAATAGTATTGTGTCTACTTCAGGACCAGATTAATCTAAATACTTTAGAAGTGCTGGTTGAAACTTCAGACTTTAGCAAAAACTTGTCATGAAGGTAAACAGATTGAACAAATAATAACAGAATGTTTTTGAGGTGATAAAGTGCACCTGATAAACTTTTATAGTATTTTCCTTCAGCTTTTTTCATTACTTAATTCTAGAATTGAATTGAAAAACCTTTCATGAAAGGTTAAGGTTAAGAGTAAGCTTTCCCACCTTTCATTACTTCAGATTTTAACAATGTATTTGTTTGATTCTTTTTAAGATTGTAATGACCATACATGGTAAGCCAAGGATTGAGACTTATGATCTGATGGATACAAGTATATCAATCAGCATTCTGGGGCAGGATATTTGAGGGTGGCAGTAATGATTAGTATAGACAACTCCCCTTTTATTCCCTTGATTTCTGAAGCTGATAGTACCATCTAGTGGTAGAGATAAGTCACTGCAGATTATGTAAAGTAGAATAATTTTGACCACCTTGCTTTGAGAAACTTCTTAATGAGAAAGATCTAATTTCATACCTCTTTTTTTTTAATTCTTATTTTTTTATTTAAGTGTTGTCAATTTACAGTGTCAGTTTCAGGTGTACAGCAAAGAGATTCAGTTATACATATACATACATATATATATTATTTTTTTCAGTTTCTTTTCCATTACAGCTCATTACAAGAAATTGATGTGCTTTACAGTAGGTCCTTGTTGTTTATCTCTCTTATGTATAGTAGTATGTATCTGTTAATCCCAAACTCCTAATCTATCCCTCCCCTCCCTTTCCCCCCTTAAATTCATACTTTTCAAGATGACTTTTCTTTTAATGTAACTGGCAAGATTACTACAATTCAAATTTTTGATATAATTGGTTTGAATTTTGGGTTCAGTGTATACTTTTGTAGCACATTGGGGCCCCTTGTATTTTTATATATATGTATACACACACACACACACACACACATACATACATATATATACACATACACATGGTATATTTATACCCATATTGTAGAACTTGAAAGCACAATTTTACAGTTTAAAAGTATTACAGAGTTTGTATTTATTGAATTTTGGCTTTTATCACATTCATCTAGCTTGAATTTATTAGATACTGAGTGCTTTGTCAGAAACAGAACTTCCAATTATTTCATTACTCTAATGGGAAACATATGTTCTACTTTATGATTGTAATTTATGGTGGAGGTTTATAGGATTGTGTTTCAGGGACTGTCTTTGAGAATTATACTGCACTGGTCTATGCAGCAGAGAGGAACTGATATATTGGCAATTTCTTGGTCATTTGCCATCTGTGGCTGAGTACCTTCTTTGCTAATACTTAAAATGATAAATACCATATAATTGAGTCTGTTGTGTTAGTTTGATATAACATGAACTGTGTTTTGAAATATTAAATTTGAGAATCCCTTTACTGTTTCCATAGTTTTGCCTTTTCCAGAATGTCATGTAATTGGAATCATACAGTATGTAGCCTTTTCAGATTGTTTCTTTCACTTAGGTTTTTTAGGGGTTGGGGGATTAGTTGATATATATAAATGCATACAAGAAAGGATTTAATGGGCAAGAAGAGATTAAAGGTACAAGAAGGAGAATTCAGTGCATGAGTAGAACAACTGCCCTGTGATAAGGAGGACATTTCCACTGTAGTAGGAGAGAAGAAAGAAGATAAGTGGTTTTTATCTGGTCTGTTTTCTCTGGAGGGGAGAATGTAGGGAGAGGGGTGAGGGTTGGAAGTTGAAGGAGAAAGAAGTTTTGAGAATGATTGTGAAGACCGGGTGAGAAAGTTTGCCTAGAGAACTGTAAGGTTTCCAGACTGGATTGAGGGCCCAGTTGAGGTTGATAACCATGAATTTATAAAGTGTTACCATCAGTCAGATTGTGTGACATTTCCTACAGCAATTCCGGATCCTGGGTGTAGTAGAAGAAAGTGGCTAGTTGGTTCATTCAGAATTGGAATTTTACTAAGTGGGTTCAAGAGAATAAAGGGATAAGGGACTTTAGGATATTTGCAAAAGAGAAACAAGAAGCTGAAAGGAATTAATAGACTGGAGGTCCTGATAAGGTTGAAGAACAATAAGAATGAAAATACTTGGGAAAGCAATCATTTGTGGTCCCAAAGCATGATACAGTGATTTCAGAGATAGAGCCCTTTTAGGTGATTTTGAGGCATCTGGGAGTGATTTATAGGGATTGGTTGGTTGATGGAGGACATCACTGCAGGTTAAGGAACAGGATGGCTAGATGTTGCTAGGATTGTCCATGTGGACAGTAGAAACCACTCAGGATGATGGCAGTGGTCAAGATGGAGAAAAGGGCTGTGAGCTGAATGCTAAAGAAAGTCTGATGTGTAAGGTAGAATGATTGGGAGTCGGTAATTGTTAGGAAGAAGGAGAGAAAGAAGGTAGCGTAGTCTGTGGACCAGCAGAATTGGCATCATCTGGGATGCCTAATCTGAAGCCCCACCTCAGACCTACTAAATAGGAATTTTAATGAGATCCCAGGTGGTTTGTATTCACATTAAAGTTTGAGAAGCAGTGGTTTAGCTGAATGAAATGGACCTCAAAGGTGCAGGGCTTTTCACAAGGGCATGAAGAACTAATGGATCAACAATGCTGTCTATAAGTAGAACATACTGTGACGAAGGAAATGTTCTATATTTGCACCATCTGATACGGTAGCCACATGTGGTTATTGAGCACTTAAAATGGTGTAGTGCCCTCCTTTTCTTAGCAGAAATTTATATGTTTAAAATGGACAGGAATAGTCAGAATTGAATCCTACATCTTATATGTTTTCCCCTCTGTTGGCTTGTGTTTAACTAGGTATATTCTTTACCTTTTTTAAAAAAAAGCAGTATTTCAAAAATGTCAAACATTGATAATAGCAAAGAGCTCTAGCTTGTAACTGATGCTAGTCTATTTTGTAGAAGTATTTTAAGATGATAATTTGTCATCACTAACCATTTGAGTACTTACAAGGAACTGATTACATATGAATGGTGGTTCTTTTAAAATCATTTTCATTAAGATGTTAAGGTCCTTGTATTTAATAATTTATGTGAAACAAAGCAATCTGTGATGAGATAGAAAACCATATCTAGAGTAGCTGCTGCTGGAGGGGGAGAGTGTAGCTCAGTGGTAGGGCGAGTGCTTAGCATGCACGAGGTCCTGGGTTCAATCCCCAGTACCACCATTAAAATGAATAATAAATAAATAAACCTAACTACCTCTCCCCCCAAACAAAGACAAAAAACCCAAACAAATAAAAAATAAATAGAGTAGATGCTGCTGGGTGTTAGCTGTTCACAGCAAGAATGTGTGGGAGGTAAGTCACCATCAGAAACATAACCTCAGCTCAGTTTAAATCCTTAATTGTTAGGAGCCAAACTTGTAGTGTATTATTTTTCTTAAATAACCCAATATAGAATGTTTTGCATGGAATAGGTACTCAAGAAATATTTGTAACTTCTTCGATTTCTTTGGCTTGAAACTAAGCATGGTATTTAATGTGTCATTTATTTTTGGGTGACACTTCTTGTCCTATAGATTCTCTTGTGCTAGGTGTTAATCGAGCAAGGTGAATTAATAAAACAGGGTTTCAGTTGGGGAAGGGGGTTAGGGGGAAACAATTTAGTGACAGATATATGACCAAGTGATTAAAATACAGTGGTGCTACATGAAAGTACTTTGAGATAAAGGGGCATCATGTTTGCATCTTACTCTTAAACCTCGGAAAAAAAAGTATATGAATAGAGAGAATGAGTCATAAAGCGTATGTGGTAAGATGTTATCATATGGGTGAAGGATATACAGGAATTTTTTAAAACACATTTTTAGAAGTTTGACATTACTTAAGAAGATATCATAATGGTAAGTGCCACAATTACGGTGCCCATAAAATCCCAGGTGTTCTGAGACAGTGTAAAAGAATCTTTTGTGCCTGTAACCTTGGCGACCGTAGTCCTGATTTAATTCAGAACTTGCTGGATCCCCCAATGACAGTTTGGGTGGGAGCTTTATATTAGAGATGCTTGTAAATCATATAACTCAATTTATGTTTTAGGAAATAGTTATCCTGGAAGTATGTTGAAAGTGT